CGGGGGCATAGGATATTGCGTTTAAACTTGGATTTTCTACGTTTCGGAACTTGTAATTTTTACGCGCCTACTTAAAATCGCGCTGCATCGTCGTCATGAATGACACTCTATCGACTTAAAACTTGCGAGTCCTCGTCAGATTTAATTCCGGGGCATAGGATATCGCGTTTAAACTTCGAATTTTTACGTTTCGGAACTTGTAATTTTTATGCGCTAACTTAAAGTCGCGCTGCATCGTCGTCATGAATGATGTGGCGACTCACGCCACATCAAGCGCGCGGGCACCACGCGTCGCGGCGCCGCTTCTGCAAATGCCAGAGCGAGCGTCAGCGACACTGCATCGGTTCGGCGCGCCGCCACTAGGCGGCTACCACGCCGACTACGAACTTGCACTTAAATTTCAGTGGCGAGGGTATATAAGGACCTCCGGCGGCGATAGAAAACAAGAAGCCGAAGAATAACTCGCCCAACTTTTCGATACCAACTAACCAAATAAAAGGTGAGTTGGTGTCGAAAGGGTCGGGGGAGTTATTCTTCCTCTTGTTTTCTATCGCCGCCGGCAGTGATCTCAGATTTGCGTTTCTGCCACCTAGCCACCGCGGTAGTGGTGGGTGGCGCGTGATGGGGCGCCCGGCACGCACACAATCACGCGGTCGTGTAGCGGACGGCGGGCTGCTCGGCGCGGCTCGGTGCGGTTCGGTCGGCTTCGGCGGTAGAAGAGGACAGACGTATATGTCTCTTTTTTCTCCGCGCTATAATGGAATAATAGCTAGCACGCGTTACATGCGTTTCAGCTAACAATTTTCGATGTAGCGGCTAGCGGCTTGGCTTGTCTATATCATCTCGCGTCTGTTTTATGCATGAGACACTACCATGTCTTAATAAAATAATTAAAATAATAGAAAAAATAAAAAGAATGATAGGTGTCCTCTCTTGGCCAACGTGTACGTCTTTTTGTAAAGAAATCATCTGTTAATAATTTTAATGATAAAAATAATTGATTAAAAAGATGACTTACGATAATTTTATTAATAGTACACATTTGTATTAAAAATCTATTAATTTGCATTAATTTTTAACGATGAACAAGAATTGAAGGATTCTCTCCAGTAAAAAGTAAAAATGTATCAGGCGACAATGACTAAAGAGAAGAATAAGTCTATGTACACGTCAGTTTTTGTAGAGTAAACGTACACATTGTTGCTCAACGAAAACCGCGAGAAGGTGATAGTCTCTTTCGTCGGGAGAAAATGTACATTGTTATATATAAATAATTGTTTTCTTTGATACAAAATTAAAGAAACTAATTATATACATTTCTGTAGTCGGAAAGAGAGAGAGAGAGAGACGCGAGGCCTTCTCGCATCTGCGAGTTGAGGCGGGTAGCAACGGGATCGTGCATGTTTTTCGCGCGCGTTTTGTTTAAACAAATTGCGAGCGAGCGACGCGTCTCTCTCGAGAAGAAGCAGTTAAAATAAAGTGGCCTTAGAGTAAGGAACTGAGCGTCACCTATTCTTCTCCCTTACGATCCTGAGTTACGCGATTAGTGACTACATTAGTTTCAGAAGTGGGATATAGACTCATTCTGACTCGCGATCGGACTATCCGACAGTTTACGTGGGTTCGCGTAGCGAGTTACGATTTACGCAAATTTATGTGAATAGTGCGGTGTTACGTGGAAACCGTACGAATTATGGCTGACGAACAATTCAAAGTCACGCAACTGAAGGCGACTCTTAAGCAGCTAAAACTACCACAAGCAGGCGATAAGGCAACGTTAATAAAAAGACTATATTCTTATGATCCCAGTGGAGCGTGGAAGGATATCGCGAGAAATGCGCTGTTGGATGAGGATGCGAGGGACCTACAGACGGCGCAAGACGAAGATTCGGAGGACAACCTTCCGAGAGGAACCGACGGAGGAGTACCGTCGACGGAGGATTTGGCGAGGCAAGGCGGTTCGGTCGAGAACGAGATGCTAGCAAACCTCATGAGAGATCTAGATCGTATGAGACGTGAGAACGACCGCATGCAGAGACAGTTAGAAGATTTACGGTTGGAAAGAGATAGAACGGCCGAAAGCAGATCGGCATTTATGCCTGGGAATGGTGGCTCACCTTCGACGCCACGTCCTACCCTTGCAGCGCTAGGAGAACTGCTGAGCGAATTTACGGGATCAGAAGATACATTCGGGAACTGGCAGAGACAGCTCGAGCTCATTCGTGCTATGTATAATCTTGACGAGAACTATACACGCATTTTGATAGGAATGAAACTGAAGCAGCGAGCTTTACAATGGTTTCATGCGAAGGCAGAACATTTAGAAATGCCGGTGACCGAGCTATTAGATCACATGAAGAGGATGTTCGATCATCGGCCGGCAAAATTAGAATTGCGTCGACGATTCGAGAAGAGAAGTTGGCGTAACGACGAATCCGTTAGTGATTACTTTTATGATAAGGTAATACTGGCCAGCAGAGTGCCTGTCGACGAAGACGAACAAATAGATTTCATTATCGACGGGATTCCGGAGACACATCTGCGTAATCAGGCACGCATGCATCGCTTCGAGCGAAAAGAAGACTTGCTGAAGGCTTTC